TTACCCTGCCCTATGCTTTCCTCATTACCTAGAGGTCTTAGAGTGATGATTTAGCACTCATTTATACTAAAAAAATTTGCACGACTGCCTCCCTAAGCAGGGTTGCCAGGTCAAAATTTTCAAATTGTGGGAGAAATTCGGTATTTTGTGGGAGTAATATAAAAATTGTGGGAGAAATATGAAAATTGCTAAAAAAAATTTTTTGATCAAAATAAAATATCCAACTCTTTTTCAAAATAAAATAGGTAACTATTTTCCAAAATAAAATACGCAACTATTTTTCAAAATAGGTAATTATAGTACGACACAAAATTTCTTAAATACTATTTTTATTATTAAAATAACATATTGATTTATTATAATATATTAATTTTGTTTAAAAATAATAACCAACGATCTTTTTTAAATACAAAAGAATGTAAACAAGATAAAATTTTATAAAAAAATTGTAATTTTACAATGTAAAAAAAAATATTTTATGCTTAATGTATAAATAAGATTTTATAAAAAAACAAACAATTTTAAATTTACAATGTAAAAAATAATTATAATCAGTGCGGGAAAGTTGTTCTACAGTATTTAGTTAATCCAATGGGGGAAGGGAATATGATATTTTGAGGCATCAAAAATCTTCAAAGCATAAATCAGTACAGGGCAGTCTATCAACATCTATTGCAAAACAAAAATATTCTTCAAAAATAAGAAATAATACAGATGCAACTACAGTTGCGGAAATGGTAAATACCTATCATGCAGTATAACATTCAGAGAGCTACTTAACATCACAATGTTGGTAGAATCTTTCCCCATAATATTTAACGACTAATATAAATGAAAAGTATACTTTGTAGAACACAAATGAGCAAGGCTATCATCAATGTTTTAGGATATAAATCCAGAAGGTCAATTCTTGACGATTTGAAAGATGTGCAAACATATGCAATTCTAACAGATGCATCTAATAAGGAGATATCAAAACATTTCCCTTGATCCTCCCCTATTTCAACAAAATTAATGTCATTTCAATAAAACTATTAAAAAAATTTTCTCATGATATGAAATATCCAAAGACATGGCTAACCATATATAATGGTAAATATGGCAGATTTGGCATTACCAATGAATTTCATGGCAGCTTTCTGATCTGATAATTCCTCAGTGAATTTGGCAAAACCTAGAGTGTATTTACAGAATTGAGTCAGCATAATGTTGGTTGACAGGTTCCTCCTAATACGCGCCATCGTAGAATTTTAAAATTTTACAAACCTTTAAAAAATAAATAGATTATAAAAGCTGTCCTAATATTTTGAAAAAAATTTTCAAAAATAAATGGCAGAAGTATATTTAAGAATTTTACATATAGGAAATCTACTATATGCTGTTAATATGCAGTTGCAATCTGAAGAATATAATTTAATAAAGGTTCACTAAATTATGCTGCAGAAATACCAAAGTAAGAATATTATTACTATTATCGGATAATTATTAATAAGATTTAATATGATGTCATGTTTGAGGAGATTGTAATGCTTCTTTATTTTTATGATTTGCCAAAATATTCAAAATATTAATTTTACAATGTAAAAAATAAATTTATTTGATTTTATGCAAATGTATAAATAAGATTTTATAAAATATAGAAAGTCAAATAGTTATAGTTAATTATATTTTATTTGAGATTTAAATAATGGAACTAAACGTTTACCGTCGTTATTAAGATATTTATAAAATTCCTGGCATGACATTTTATAATTTTGTTTAACCATTAACTCGGCCTCTAATGTTGTTAAAGCAATTCGATTTCTCTCCTTTCTCCAGGCAGTCTTCATCAGGCTAAAAATGCGCTCCGATGAGGCATTAGAATGAGGTAAGGAGAAAACACACTCGCAAAATTTTTCCAAGCATGGGGATTTATCGTTATTACGAAAAAATTCCACCCATTTCTCCTCTGCTTTTAGACCATCTAACTTTAAGTATTCTGGCGAATCATAAAAAATGGAAAAAATTACAATCTCTTCAAACAAGGCTTCAATGTCTATCGGTAATTTTAATATATTTATTAAATTACAAAAACCATTGATGGTTTCTGTTCCAAGGTCATAATATTTATACACTTGTAAATAGAGTTATTAAAATCAAATGATTGTAAATATTCCAAAATTGTCTTAATAAAAATATTTGCTTCATTTAAAAATACGTTAATTATAGTAATATTTGAACATTTTAATATGATATTTTTAGCAATAGCGCCATAAAATTTATTATCTATTTTTAACTGTAGAGATGAACAGAGCTGTAGCATGATTTTGTGAATCTTTATCAATAAATAATCTTCTGATTGCAACTGAATATTAACTACATGAAGTAGATTTCCTACATGTGAAACTAATCCCAAATATGCTTCTGACATTTCATCCTCGAAAAATTTTTTCTAGGACAGCTTTTAAAATCTTTATTTAAGAAGTATTTCTTTAAGGGTTCGTAAAATTTTAAAATCCTCTCGATGGCAGGTATTAATGATAACCACCTGATAGGTACATATCGCAACAACTCTCACCATTCCAAATCAGACCACTCCACCAATTCTTTTAATTCAGTGACTCTTTTAGTTGATGAACTAAATTCGTTAAAACATTTCATCACAATTACTTCGACATCTACAGATAGTACATTCATTGCCTTCTTGCAAGAATTATGCAGTATATGGCATATACAGCCAATTGGTATTAATTCATTATTGTGCTGCGTCAATTCGGTAAATACACTTTGATTTTTGCCAAAATTAACAGAGGCATTATCAGCGCAGAAAGCTGACATGCAACTCATTGATAACCCTGAATCAGCTATATTTACCATTATGTGGTTAGCTATATCGTTGGATTTTTCACTATCGGATGAAAAAAATTTCAATAGTTTTATAGAAATGCCCTTATTCTTGTTGAAATAGCTAAGGATCAGGGGAAATGTTTTAATATTTCCCTTATTTGATGCATCTGTTAAAATAACATATGGATGTCCTTCTTTCAAATCGTCTAGAATTGACCTCTTGGATTCAGGTCCTAACACATTTGTGATAGCCTTGCTCATTTTTGTCCTACCATAAGTAAAGTTAGCACTTATTTTGGAGTCGTTAAATATTTAAAAACATTAAAATGCTAAAAAAAAAATTGTGGGAGAAATTAAAAAATTATGGGAGCTTTTTGTGGGAGATTTCTAATTGTGGGAGTTTTGTGGGAGTGAGATGTATGTGGGTAAACTAAAAAATTGTGGGAGACTCCCACTGATGGGGGGAGACATGGCAACCCTGTCCCTAAGGTATAAATTTACCCATTAAAAAAATGTATAAATGTGTAAGGGTAAAGAAATAAAAAATTTACACTTAACCCGCGTTGCCCGGTTCCCAGATATTGAAACAAGAGGTCCGCAAAACCCTGCCTGGCAAGAATTTTTGCACAAATTGCCCGCCCCAGCCTGTTAAATTTTTTTCCAGCCTACTCGTTAAATATTTTTAACAATTTGGCCAGTTCGTTAAAAATTTACAAAAAATCAGGCCTTAGCTCGTTATTACAAAAAGTCAGCCACGACCCGATTATTTTTATACGAATTTTCTTGCACATTTTAATATTTGGATCTAATTTTTCCCCGATATCAATTATGGCAATCTATTTCTTCAACAACCCTTTTATATTATAAGTCATTGTGTTTGATATCTGTATTATGTATTTCTTATTGGATCCTGTCATAAATTTAATTGTTTTAATAATATATTATTTATTGATGTAGTATTTTTAGTTAAACAGCTCTTAATACAAATAAATTAACATATTGTTATTTATTTTTAAATAGTAAATCAAAAAAAATATTAGCTTAAAATTCAAAAAAATATTTAAAATTTTAAATCCCGAGCTGGCTTATTAAAATTCTGGCTTATTAAAATTTTACGAAAGGTTAGAAATTTGAGGCCTGATTTATATTGTCATGCCCGACCTGGCCAGGAATTTTTTTTATCTAATTGCCCGGCCTGAAAATTTTTTGTGCACGACTTTCCCGGCCCAACCCGGTATATTTAAAAAAAATTTCCCGGCCTGGCCCGATAGCCTGGCTTTGCAGATCTCTAATAGGAACATTTCAACTTTTTGATCTGGAACATTTTTTATTTAATATTTTAATTTAATTTTTGCCCCTTTGTTGGCTTTTTTTAACATATTTATTAGCTAGTCATATTTTGTATATTTATTTTCAAGAAAATCCTGATTTGTTATTTAATTGACCTGGTATTAAAAAATGAATACGTTCAAAATAAAATACTGAAACAATTATAAATTAGAAATCAAATGATTTATTTCCATAATTTTCCCTTTCTTCAGAAAAATATATATGACACGTTTAGATTCTTGGAGTTTCGATAAAGGAACAACAATTTTATAGAAAAATAAGATATTTAAAAAAAATTAGAATCCCTTTTATTATATACAAGAAAAACCTTTTTGCAAATTAACTCGGAAAAATTAAATAAAATCTTGTAAAAAATTTTACCAAAATCGTCTATGATTTTAAAAAATAATCTGAGAAAATCAGTAAAAAATTTTAACTTTCAATTTTATAATCTTGATTAAGTACGAAAAAAATTCTAAGCATTTCAAAATATTTGTTAAAATTTACTTTTACATGAAGCGAATTTTAAAATTTTTGCTTGGGAAGAAGGGTGAGGTAGTGAAGCAAAAAACTGAACTCAAATGTCCCCTCCTTACTTACAACGTGAGATAAAAAAATTGCTAATTTATTAAGTCACATTTTAATGGGTTATAAAAACTGCATATATCATCTATTGATTTATTTTTGAATATTCAAATTATTTTAAGTTTACTTGATCTCCTTTACTTAATAATAAATATGAATATTTTGGACTTTATCGGGAAATAGAATTGTGTATCATTAACCTGATCTCTATATTATATAATTTACAACAAAATTGCTAACTCCAAACATAATGTTATTAGATTAGCTGAAGTTGGTATTCTTGAGCAAATAAGACAGCATGGAAATTATGAAATAGGACAGGTATAATTAGAACTATTTATAAAATTTATTATTACGGTTGGTAAAATTCGTGATTTTTTTAAATAATAAAAAAATATTTTTTGGATAAATAGTATTGCTGTTAAACGGCTTGATTTTTAAAGACGGCTAACTTAATACTCTAGCTAAGAATATTAGGCAAGTATGGATATTTTAATAGAAGGTGGAAATGTTTGGATATCTATTAATGAAATCTCCAGGCTTGTGTCTTATTTAGACGTTTTTAAAAATCGAGCCTTTTAACACGCTAAATACTCAATTAGAAAAGTATAGATTTAGAATAAAAAATATCATGTATAATAGGCCTATTCAAAAACAAATTAGAATCGAATAGTGCATTAAACGAATCGAATAATTTACTATTTGAATTCGTACGAATAATAAAATCTACTATTTGATTACTTTTTTTAATAAAATAAATCATACTCAAATATATTGACAAATTTTTTTATTACAAATTTGATGTTAAACAGAAAAAATTATAATAATATGTAATCAATAATCTGATAATAAATAATATATAATTAAGTTATAAACAAAATTAAAATGTATATTATTAATTTAATTTAAGCCAATTTTTAAGGCAAAGAGTTTTTCTTTTATTTTTTTCCTTATATGACATGCGGTTTTTTGACAATAAATTAGTTCCAACTGAGAAAAGCCTTTCACAAGTAGTTGATGTTCCTTGTATAGATAGATAATCCCTTGCCATTTTCGAGAGCATGGGGATCCGATATGCATTTGCCTTCCACCACATACGAATCATTCTAATAATGTTTCTTAGTTTTAGAATTGAAGGATCTAAAATTTTTAAAATTTCTTTGAATATTAAATTAATTACATGGGCAAAGCATCGGATGTGCCCTATTTTTATTAATGGATATTTTAAAGAAAATGTATCAATAAATGTTTTATTATTAGTTGCATTATCTAAAGTTATATAAAAATTTTTATTCTCTAAATTATATTTTAATTATTTTAACAAAGGCTAAATATATTTTCACCTGAATGTGTTACATTTATTTGACTGACATCCAAAATTATGTTATTTATTTTAAAATTATCACCAATAAAATGGGCTGTTAGCCCTAAAAAAAGGAACCTGTGTTGCTAGTCCAAATGTCAGATGTAAAATTAATCTGACTTTTATTTTTATATATTTTTCCTTTACCAACTGTTCTTTTTCTGAAAATATATTATACATGTGCAATTTAAGAGTATTGGAGCATATTGATTTTACAGAAATAAAATTTTTAAAATCATTTGAATTAATAATTTTAAAAGGTATATTATTATTTATCAATAATTTTAATAAATTATCCTTAAAATTAATTTTTTTTTGAAAAATTTGGTGTAGACTTTAAAAAAATGTCAATTTTATTATTTTTTTTACTAAGGTAAGAATGAAACCTATTATAATGATTAATAAGAAGAGATGTTGTTTTGCCTTTACATTTTATAATACTCTTGCAATGATTGCAAGCAGCCTTTTAACCGTCTTTAAGGATTTGATATTGATCCCATATGATTGCTCTCTCTTGTGAGGAAATTTTCTCATCTTCAACATCAAGCATAATTTCATCAGAAGCATTCTCCTCTAACATAATTAGGCTAGCTAACAATAATTATTGTAGAAAGGTAATATATTTTTTTATACCTCTGGTTTATGTAATTTTTAATATAATATATTATGAGATTCAAAAAGTAAACTTTTCGTGAGATTCAAAAAATGTGGCAAATAAAAATTTAAATTTTCACTAGAAATTTTTGAATTTGTGCTAGAATTTTTATAAACACAAACACATCACATCACCTGTCAGATTGGCAGGTCAACAAATAGAAATGACAATATTAAATTTATTAAACAATTTATTAAATATTACGAATAATTCGTTTTATTCGAATTGAATAAATGATTATTCGTATTCAGATTAAACTAATAATTTATTATTCGTATTCGTAATTATTCAATTCGATTCAAATTATTTGAATCGAATCGAATATTCGAATTATTTTTGAATAGGCCTAATGTATAATATATATATTTTTTTTTACCTCAGTACAATATTACCTTGCAAGTAAGTAGTGTTGTTAAACGGCTAAGCCGAGTCGACTTAGCTGCGACTCGAGCCTAGTTTCTAGTCGATAAAACGAGTTTGACTCGAGACTAAATGAGCCGCATTGGTCGGCTCACTTAGTTGGTTCGTGTAGTCTTCTCGCTTAGTTGGCTCGTGTAGTCGACTCATGAAGTCGGCTCATGTAAGTTGACTCGCTGGGTCTACTCAATTTTTTTGTTTTTTTTATAAAATCTGGTAAATTGGTTAATTTTGGGTTATTGATTAATGTGAACAAAATTATAATAAGAATATTCATGTCGTAACTAAAAATGGTTCAGGACAAGAATTCGGTTACAGATATTATATACCTATTTTTTATAACACAAAAATGTAAAAATATAATTTATATTATAAAGATGTTAAATTAAAATTTCAGTAAATATGTACCCTAGATAAGTGACAATTGTCATAATCGTTGTTTTTAAAGATTTTTGAAATTATTTGACGCAAGTGGGTAAAAATATAGATTGTAAATATGTTATATTAAATTTTTAGTGAAGATGTACCCTAGATAAGTGACAATTGTCATAATCATTGTTTTTAAAATTTTAAAATTTTTTTGACGTAAATGGGCTAAAATAGGTATTGCTAACATGTTAAAATAAAACTTTAGTGAAGATGTACCATAGATAAGTGACAATTGTCATAATCGTTGTTTTTAAAGTTTTTAAATTTTTTTTGACATAAATGGGCTAAAATAAGTATTGCTAACATGTTTAAATAAAATTTTAGTGAAGATGTACCCTAGATGATAAGTGACAATTGTCATAATCGTTGTTTTTAAAGTTTTAAAATTTTTTTTGATGTAAATGGGTTAAATAAATATTGCTATAAAATTTTAGTGAAGATGTACCCTAGATAAGTGACAATTGTCATAATCGTTGTTTTTAAGGTTTTTTGAAATTTTTTGACGCAAGTGGGTAAAAATATAGATTGTAAATATTTTATATTAAAATTTTAGTGAAGATGTACCATTTAAGTGACAATTGTCATAATCGTAAAGTTTTTTAAATTTTTTTGACATAAATGGGCTAAAATAAGTATTGCTAACATGTTTAAATAAAATTTTAGTGAAGATGTACCATAGATAAATGACAATTGTCATAATCGTTGTTTTTAAAGTTTTTTAAATTTTTTTGACGTAAATGGGCTAAAATAGGTATTGCTAACATGGTTAAATAAAATTTTAGTGAAGATGTACTCTAGATAAGTGACAATTGTCATAATCGTTGTTTTTAAATTTTTTTGACGTAAATAGGCTAAAATAAGTATTGCTAACATGTTTAAATAAAACTTCAGTGAAGATGTACTTTATAGATACAGGGTTTCTCATTCAAAAAAGAAATGTCCCAATCAAAAAAAAAAATCGTAATTTTTTAAAATTTTTTGTCAATTTTTCTTAAACTTTTGTATATTTTTGTTATTCCTTCTTAATTTATTTCTAAATTTTTGCGATTTCTTTACGTTTTTTTTCTTACTATATCTTTTCTCAATTTATTTCTAACATTTTGCGATTTTCTTTACTTCTATTTTTCTTACTATATCTTCTCTCAATTTATTTTTCTTCTCATTTTAATTCTTTTGTATTTTTAAAAATAATTTATAAATTTAGGTTTATTTTTTTAACAATTCTTTACGTTTTTTTTTCATTATACATATAATATTCTTTTTATGATTTTTTCATTGTAATTTTACATACATTTTTAACCTTTTCAATCTCGTCATTTTTAATCTTTATTTTGACCTTTTCTCAATTTTTTTATTCTCATTTTTGATAATTATTTTTTAAAATTATATTTAATGTTTTTGGCAGACAATATAATTACAATTGCTAAATTATAAATTAATTGTTTGGTTTACCTTAATTGTAATACCAAACGATATTTAAATTAATAAAATATAATCATTTTTAAATTCTTATTTTTAAAACGCATTAGAAAATTATTATTATTTAAAACAATAGGAGAGGAAGACAGACTAAATAAAATTAATTTTTTTTTATATTTCCATGGATTTTAATTCGAGTTATTTTTATACATTATGTGTAGGTTATTTTATAAATAAAGATTATTAGTAAAATAAATGCGTCCTTATTTTTTTTTTTTCAAATTTATAAATTAGTTTTATCAAAGTCAAATATAAAATACATGTTTTAACTAAATGGTCTTTAATAAACAAAATTATATGTACTAGGATTTTGTAATGAACTAAACTAGCAAAAATAATTATCAAAAAGAGAAGAAAAAAATTGAGAAAAGGTCAAAAAAATAAAGATTAAAAATGACGAGATGGAAAAGGTTAAAAATGTATGTAAAAGATTACAATGAAAAAATCATAAAAAGAATATTGCATATATAATGAAAAAAAGACGTAAAGAATTTTTAAAAAAATGGACCTAAATTTATAAATTATTTTTAAAAATACAAAAGAATTATCAAAATGAGAAGAAAAATAAATTGAGAGAAGATATAGTAAGAAAAATAAAAGTGAATAAAATCGTAAAAAGTGAAATAAATTGAGAAAAGATACAGTAAGACAAAAAACGTAAAGAAATCACAAAAATTTAGAAATAAATTAAGAAGGAATAACAAAAATAAATAAAGGTTTAAGAAAAATTAACAAAAAATGACAATTTTCCTTTTTTGATTGGGACTTTTCCTTTTTTGAATGGGAAACCCTGTATCTAGAGTACATCTTCATTGAAGTTTTATTTAAACATGCTAGTAATACTTATTTTAGCCCATTTACGTCAAAAGAGTTTAAAAAACTTTAAAAAAAACGATTATGACAATTGTCACTTATCTATAGTACATCTTCACTAAAATTTTATTTAAACATGTTAGCAATACTTATTTTAGCCAATTTACGTCAAAAATATTTAAAAAACTTTAAAAACAATGATTATGACAATTGTCACTTATCTAGGGTACATCTTCACTAAAACTTTATTTAAACATTTTAGCAATACTTATTTTAGCATATTTACGTAAAAAAAACTTTAAAAACTACGATTATGACAATTGTCACTTATCTAGGGTATATTTTCACTAAAATTTTATTTAAACATATTAGCAATACCTATTTTAGCCCATTTACGTCAAAAAACTTTAAATACAACGATTATGACAATTGTCACTTATCTATGGTACATCTTCACCAAAATTTTATTTAAACATTTTAGCAATACCTATTTTAGCCCATTTAGGTAAAAAATATTTAAAAAACTTTAAAAACAACGATTATGACAATTGTCACTTATCTAGGGTACATCTTCACTAAAATTTTATTTAAACATGTTAGCAATACTTATTTTAGCCCATTTACGTCAAAAAAATTTAAAAAACTTTAAAAACAACGATTATGACAATTGTCACTTATCTAGGGTTCATCTTCACTAAAATTTTATTTAAACATGTTAGCAATACCTATTTTAGCCCATTTACATAAAAAAACTTTAAAAACAACGATTATGACAATTGTCACTTATCTATGGTACATCTTCACTAAAATTTTATTTAAACATGTTAGCAATACTTATTTTAGCCCATTTACGTCAAAAAAACTTTAAAGACAACGATTATGACAATTGTCACTTATCTATGGTACATTTCACTGAAGTTTTATTTTAACATGTTAGCAATACCTATTTTACCCCATTTACTTCAAAAAATTTTAAAAAACTTTAAAAACAATGATTATGACAATTATCACTTATTTAGGGTACATCTTCACTAAAAACTTAATATAACATATTTACAATCTATATTTTTACCCACTTGCGTCAAAAAATTCCAAAAAACTTTAAAAACAACGATTATGTCAATTGTCACTTATCTAGGGTACATCTTTACTGAAATTTTAATTTAACATCTTGACAATATAATATATTTTACATTTTTATGTTATAAAAAATAGGTATATAATATCTAAAGCCGAATTCGGGTCCTGAACCATTTTTAGTTACGATATGAATATTCTTATAATTTTGTTCACACTAATCAATAACCAAAATTTACTAATTTACAAGATTTTATAAAAAAAACAAAAAAATTGAGCAGACCTAGCTAGTCGACTTACCTAAGCCGACTACACGAGCCGACTGAGCGAGCCGAATATATGCGCCTACTAAGTGAGTCGGCTCATGTGGCTCCTTGATCTGCTTGAGTCGGAGCCGTTTTTTACGACTACGACTAGAGTCGCAAGTCGTAAGAACTCGACTTTTTAACAACACTAAGTAATAGTTAATACATCAGGAAACTGTTGAAAAATACATATTGATAAGCAATGTTCTAATGTGATATTTTGTCAAATGAAAAACCTAGTGTCTTATAAAAATTAGATATAAATATATGTATCAATATACAAAGCACACACATGTATATCTTTTTGTTTAAAAATAAATAATTAATATCTGTATCCTAGTCTAGTCAGAAAGATGGTCAGCCAGTTTTTTTCTCTAAAACCAACACTATTGTAAAATTCATTATTCAAATAAAATTGATACTAAATTTAAAATTTTATTTTTTGACTAATAAAATGATAGTAGTTTAATTATTTTTAATTTTTCCCAACTGGGTGTGATGCATTTTAAAATGTCTGAGGGAATATTTGTTGTATCATTAATATCGTCATTTTAAGAATTTTGATTATGAGTTTTTTAGCAATTGTCTCATCTATCCCTATAATCAAGAAATTTTAGAACTATTCTTTTTTCTATTAGAGGTTAGTTTTTTAATTATATGAAGATAAATATTTTTTAACCAGTAAAACGAGCAATTTTTTTTAGTTCTAAATCAATTGCTTATAACAAAATAATTCAAAAATAAAATTAGCAAGGTAATTATCAAAATATGTTTGAAATTTAAAAGCTAGTGGGACCGAAGTGGCTAATTTTATAACTTAGTACCAATATCTTAAATATCTTGGTAAAATTCCACGCTAGATCTACCTATAATGAAATTATTTTTAAATGAAATATAAATTAAAAAAAATAATGGTAGTTATCACAGGAGACAGGACCATATAATTCAGGATAAAAATAGTAAAACAATCTTTTACACTATCTTTAATAGAAATTTTTTTAATGCAATTCAATATTTTTTATTTAAAAAATTTTATTTTAGACTAATCTAAGTCCTTGTCTTACACTGTATTAATACTAAGTATTTTGATCAATAATAAATAAAAATATTGTATTAAAAATGGTTTAAATTAATGTATTAAAAAAACGGGGTAAATTTAATCGCGATTTCAATTATTGATTTTTATTATTAGCCAACCCTATTAATTATTGTTATACAATAATATTAAATAGTCAATTTAAATTTAGATGATTGATTTTAATAATATTAATTTACTCATTATTATTTACCATTTGATTTTTACCTTGTCGCTAACAAAATGCATATATAAACCACTTATTATAAAGAAAGCAATCTTTATTATACCAAATTGATCTTTAAAAAAAATCGAAGTTATTCCTGCACCGTACTTTTGGATACCGAGGCCTCATCATATTTCCTTGGCAAGCCAAAGTTTTTGATAGAGATTCGGCTGCTTTCAAACCTCAAAGTTATGACATCACGTAAATGAATTTCCAAAATAAAAATTGAATCTTTATAAAAGTGTTTTTTTTATGTTGTGTGATTATTATATGGTTCTAACTCCTCCAAAATCAGTTGTATAAGAGTAATTTTGAAAAAAAAACATGTCATCTTGAATAAAATTAAAATATTTAAACCATTTTATTTTATTTTATTTTAATTATTTTTATTGAGATTTGCAAAGGTTAAATTTTTACGCTCAAGCCTAATTTTATTTTTCCCTTATAGTTGAGCTGGTCCATATTTAAAAGTTTTTAGGTAATTCTGCCCTGAAGCCCAGCTCTATTTTTTTAATATGTTTTATTGAAATTTAACAGGATCAATATTTTTCCATTCTGACAATAGATCTTTTCATTTATTGTTAACCCATCATTTTGTAAAAAATTTGCTGGTTTTAGAATTGTATTATGATAGTTAACTGACCAAGGAGTATGTTTCTTTTATATTTCCAGTTCGGAAGCAAATTTGCCCTGTTGGAATTCCGAGATTTGATATGATTCATCAAGTTTATGTATCGAAAGTTTCAAATTTGTTTTTTATGATTTGGTTGGATTTTGAATGTTGTTTATGCAATGTCTCCTTCGTTAATGTTTTATTGTCGGGAATATCTATTTCCTGCATTTAGAAGATATTAATCCATTAATCCAATTATAAAATGAATGCAAAGTATTATTGTATTTATCTTCACCTAAATAAGTATATATATATATATCCTTGATAAACCAAGTCTTTGAGTTTGATCAGGATGTTTGTGAATTGTTTTTATGCTTTATCCAAAAGCGAAATTTAACATTTACACTAACCCCCGCCAATTTCAATTGAGTTATAGCACGTGCAACTGAGATGCAACTAGTCAATCTTTTCTTTATGAGAATGTGATCAATTTCTGAAATAGAAGTAGTTTTTGGATATGCCCAAATATATTTGTGTGGAAATATAGTTTACAAAGAAACCTGATTATTTAGTTCAAGATAATTGCATAAATTCATTATCATATGTTAAATCGTGATTATTGTGTCTACCAATATAATTTTATTATATAAATAACTGTCTTTTCCAACAGACCAGAAATATGTGATGATTTAGAACTTTAGCAGATTGTAGGCTTCATAGATTGACTGCTTATTTCATCATTTTTATCATTTGGGTATAAATATTAATGATACTTAAAATTGTATGTGTTTTGAATTAATGTGGCGAATTCTATTAGTAGAAATGAGTTGTAAATTTTATTCGAATTCAAAATTGAGAATAAAACCTAAATTGGTTGATTGAATGAATTTATAATTTTCATTTAAGTGAGATTCGACTTTATTAAGAGTTATAATTTGAATAATCTTTACTTTCATTCCACTGAGAACTGAGTCCAATATTGTAGGATAATATTTTCACGGAATTTTCTTGGTATTTAAAATTAAATATATGGTAACACCACTTCTCATATATGGTAACACCACTTCTCATATATGGTTACACACACGACATTCGGCGCACCAATAATTCAGCACAACAATATAACGGCGCGACAATTTGACAAGGCTAAAATTCGGTACAATGACAATTCAGCCCGGATCTAATTAAGTTGCGCGATTATTTATAAATCATAATTTTATTAATGGCTTTTATAAAATTAAAGGGCCTTTTGATGGTTGATCCGCAGAACCTTGGTTCTATTAATTTTTGTATATTTTTATTTTCCTTAAATCTAAATTTCATTTACTAATTGCGTTATTTTAATAATTATATAAAAAACAATTTATATTTATGTTTGTATTCTGATTTCTTTGGTGGATCAACCTACCATGTTATAAAGTATGTTGGTCTAAAATATATTCACGACTTGTTTGTCACTATTAATTGCTAGAGAGTATTGTTAAAAAGTCGAGTTCTTGTCATAAAAAATGCCTCCGACTCAAGCCTCATAAGCCAACTCGATTAATCGGCTCACTTAGCTCGCTTAGTCGGCTCACCTAGCTCGCTTAGTCGGCTCACCTAGCTCGCTTAGTCGGCTCACCTAGCTCGCTTAGTCGGCTCACCTATTCGAGTCACTGGGTGGGCCAATTTTTTAATTTATAAGTAATTATAATATTTGATATTTTTTTTTTACATATATTAAAAACGACTCCATTCGAGTCGATTTTTATATACGTCTCACTCAAATGTCTGGTAAATTGCTAAATTTTGAAATTGCTAAATTTTGGGTTACTGGAACAAAGATTATAATAAGAATATTTATTTCGAAACTAAGAATGGTTCTGGACCCGAATTTGGCTTCATACTTAATTTGGTGAAAATTTTGATAACATGAAATTAACAAGCCGGCTCAGGTGAGCCGAAATTTATTTATTTATTTATTTATGATCAGTGTTGTTAAACTGCTGAGCCAAGTCGGCTTAGCCCTAAACTCACAGGTTTTAGTTAAAAAAATGACTCAGACTCAAGCCAGCTCATTGAAACATATGAGTAGGCTGGCTCAGAATTTGGCTAAAGCGGTATCAGGAGTCAGCTTGAGTTCAATTTAGAGCCAAAATTTATATATATGTGATTCAGAATTAATTGGTGACTCACTGAAACACGAGGAAATTTTTAATATTATTATTTATTTTATTTTTTTAATATTTTATTTATTTATTTTTTTTTAAATATTTTTTTTTATTAAAAATAATAAATATGCGATCACGCAAATCTTAAAATTTAATATTTTTTCAAGTTATAACAAAATGAAAATGAAAATGGATATGAACATTACCCTGAATTCATAGTGGCGCGATTGCGATTTAGCCGCGATAAATACAAAATACAGTAAATATCAGAGTTGTTGTATCTACATCCAGTATCTAGATATAAAAATGTGGTATCTGTATCTGTATCTAGATAGATTTTTGATTAAAATAGCTGTATCTAGATATTATTTTAGACTATGTATCTCTATCTAGATCCATTTAAAAAGTATATTTTAACAACTCTGGTAAATATCATATAACATTCATAGTTACCGATCGCGCGATCTGAATCACCAAAGCAAATCGCTACGATTTTTTTAAAAACACAAATCATTTTTGTATTTATCGCGTGATTTTGAAATATTGCTTCGTTAAATACAGATTTTGGTGAATTTAGATGAAAAATTTAGATTTAGCGCTAATTTTAAATTATTTGAAATGAATTCAATGGCTACCTTTTTTGATGATATAAAACCAAAGAATCAAGTTAAAATTATTTTTTTAGAAAATAGATAAAATTGCTTTTATTCTATCAGGATTAGAGTTGTTAATTTGCTTGGTCGTAAAATTTATGACCCAATTTTGTGCTCATGCCTGCTCTGAGCACGAACCCTGAGCACAGACCCGGGGTCCAGACCCGCCGGCACAAAAACCCATTTATTTTTAACTTTGTTTTGAACTTAGTAGAAAAGTATACATAAGATTTATTTAAAAGAACAAGCGTTCCCTCTCGGTCTCGATAGGCTAATAGGTCTAGGTGTGTTAATTATATACTGTAGTCTACTAGTAATCATAATTATTATTCTAGATGGGTGGGTCCAAGAGGTTATGAATATTTTTAACAACATGATGATATTGATATTATGGGCGTCAAATAAAAGGTGTTTTAATTAAATTTTGACTTCAATACTTATTATTAATATTCTAATTAGGCGGGTCTACTAGGTCTTATGAGGTCAGAAATATTTTTAAAAATGGAAAATATTGATATGGGCATCAAATAAAATGGAATTTAATTATATCTTGATTGCAATCTAAATTATTATTCAAAGTGGGCGGGTCTAGGAGGACATAGGAATATTTTTAACAATGCACTATTTATCCGCAATTTGAAAATTTTTATTACCTATATTTTCTATTTTTTCCAATTTCGCCTCAAAAAAATGAAGGCCCACCTTTACTATTAAATTAATGATGTGGGCCATGCAGCGATGCCCATATAAAATTTTCGAGTAATGGGTTTGATAATACTCTTGCAGCAGTTGTACTGCCTTGATCTCATTTGATCCGTTATCGTGTGTTATTGATATTATTTTATCACTTAATTTAATAGATTTACTTTTTGATATTTTTTAAAAATCACTAAAAAATAAAATGTTAAGCTATAAAAAATTATTTTCCCAGATGGAATTCAAAAAATAATAATATATTTATAATATTTATACTATAAATAACTTTATTTTACATCCGTTTTTTTTATTTATAAATATTTATCCTTATTAAAAAATAAAAACTATATTTTCATTCCCCCTTCCATATGTTTTTTTCCAAAAAATTATTATGTAAATAAATCATTTGATAATAAGTTATTTTAGTTTTATTTCAAAATTGAGTGCAAAATCGTCACAATCCTATTTTTTTAAAAAATATTATTCAATTAATATAATTATAAAAAAATGTTTCGAAATAAATTAGTCATTATTAGCAATTATCTCTATAATATATTCGCGATAGTTGTTTCGCGATATTGTATTCGCGGTAATGTATTCGCTTTAAAGGTTTCGCTATAAAAAATTCGCGATATTTGTTTCGCTATATTGTATTCGCGGAATAGTATTTGCTATTATGGATTCGCGATAAAAGTTTCGCCATAAAATCCATTCGCCATAAACGACATTCGCGATAAAAGCTTCGCGAAAAAGTGCTTCGCGATAATAGTTTCGCTGAAATGTATTTATTAGCTATAACATATTATTTAAGAATTATATTATAAATATGAAATACTTGCAAAAGACCAATCTTATATATTTCTTCAATTTTTAGGTATATAAAAATTAATTATACACTAATTAATTTAATTAGTATTATTAACATATACACATTTTGACCAATTTTGAGAGAAATCGGTCCAATAGATAAAAAGTTAAAAGGTGGTGGCCAGTCTTCAAACATGGCCATTTATGGCACATTTCCCCTAATGGTAGAACAAAATTTTGACATGATTTGTGTTCTCCTATGTATGCAGAGCCTAAATAATG